TGGTCGGATTTAAATCGGCGGAGTTGAAGGACCAGAAGTTTTTGGTTCATCTCAGGTGGAGGTGCCCTACACAATAACATGTCGTCCTCACTGCAGTACCAGCACGGACAGAGTCCTCGTAAGACGTGATCTGGACCGTCAGTGATCCTCTCTTCCGACGACTCCACGTGAGTCTGCCAGAGTGTGGATGTATTTACCAGAGGTGCTCGTTTTATCCGGGCTCGATGAAGTAGGGTGCACCACGTGCACCTCCCTTGAAGACCACCCATAGGTCCATCACCTCAACAGGATGTTTACTTTGCATGACCGCTGCAATATTCTCGATACAATCCCCTATATGGCATGCCATTCTTTTTTATCGTATTCCAGTCGGTGATAAGATTTTTGGTCGCTGAAGTTTTGAACATTGTTTCTTTTTAATATGCTCAAGAGCTTCTTCCTTATATTCAAGTGAGTCATCTTGTATGTCCTCTGCTAAGAGTTATTTTACGACGATTACGTTAACTTTTTGTCCTAAGTATCCCCACACAATCCTTATCGTCCGTGATAACACGTTGACCTGTCCAGCAACCTTTACGTGGAATGGCATTGTTTTAAACAAAATGTTCTTGTTTTACTCGTTTAACATTAGTGTCTATGGGCGCGCGCAAAGCACTTGGAGCACCGTCGAACTATTTTGCTGCTCTTTTCCAGGAAGTTGCATGCTCATGGATGTAGTCATGTCAGATGATGCACAACTTTTGGGCGTTTCATTGCCATGATATAATTTATCAAAATAATGCCATGCCTACTCATGACCAGAGCCCAAAAAGCATTCCCGATTATGCTGCCCCACCCTGTACATATACACATAGCACATTCATATATACTTGCTTACAATTGGTAAATGTGGTTGTGGGTAAGAGTTAAGATACTGACTAAAAATAAAAAATAAAATAAAAAAACTGAAAATGGGGGCACCACCAAAATGAAGTGGACGAAATCCGTTGAGTTTTTAATTTTGGGTATAGGTAGGGGCACCACTTCGATTCATGACCCTCCCCTTGGAGTTTTCCTGGATCCGCCCCTGACAGGCGGTGCTATATCACATGTCATGTGCATCTAAGAGCACCCAGAACTGGTTGGTAGAATGGTGTTCATAGAATTCATGCCATAAGCTGGCAGATTTCCCAATAACACTGAATTTCGCCGCTCCAAGGTCGCGCGCGGTCGCCTGACATGCGCTGACATATGTGTCATTTACTTCCAAGTTTATGAATGGCCCACTCCAATTTTTTCACAGATTGTTAAGAACACATGGCTCGTTATTATATACAAAAATGAGCAAAATCGAAGGTGACGTGTTTTTTGCTATTCAACTTTTTGAATTTCAAGTCGAATTCAAGTAAAGTTCAAGATCAAAAAGTTACTAATTTCTTGTAAAAAAAGAAAGTCGAAAGAATTGTCTATTGAATGAAGTTGAATTCATTAAAATGTGACAAGCGTATCCAAAGTTATGGCAAATCAAAAATATGACGGCCTTCAATTTTTTCAAAATTCAGTACCCTATAATTTTACAATTCCGGGTAGAAATGCAAAAAAACACTCATATTAATTGTTAGGAGGGATAGGTGAATCCGTCTACCAAGTTATATACAAATCGCCGGTGGTAAGGTGCAAATCAGCCCAATTTTGTTCGATTTGACGTGGAATGCCCCAACTGCGTACTGACAGGAGTCCCCCAAAACGCTTATGGTAACACACTGGCAACAAGCGCCATGAACGGTGTGACTGAAACTCGAAGGTGATTGTTGAGCAATCATTTTTTAAACAGTCTAATTGTTTTTCGTTAGTCTCTTTTTCCAGCCAATGATTTGTGATTTCGCTAATTATTTCGCCGTGTCGTATGCGGGAGGGGAGGGGAGGGGAGGGTGGGTGGGGGGGGGGGGGGGTGCGTAGCACAAAGACAACATCTGCTATTATTATGTGCGTGCCTGTCCCGACAGATGGTGTTCATTTACGTGGCATATTGCATCCTAAAGAATGCACTTATGCGTGAAGCTTAGTGGAAACCTATTAGTTACGAAGGCGCGAAGCGACGATAGACTGCAGTCACGTCTGGGAAGCAAAAGAAATATAAAAGAAAACGCTTTGTTCACACCTAGGCCTGCCTAATCCACGTTGTAGAGTAATCTTCAGCATGTACGATTACTTACAGCTCAAATGTGATTAGAAACTGCTGAATGGCCAGTCCTTTACGCTAAGATCCTGTTTCCTACATATTTATCTGGTTTTCGTGCAGTCTGGAACGATTTTTACGTCACTTACGAGTAATTATGTGCTATTTAGTCAGTCGAGAGGATTGCTTCTGTTATCTTGTACCACAATGCCACAAATCCTCGCGTATGATGTTGCGGTTTTCTGAAACAGGCATAAACTACGCCGCTGACGGAATGGGTTCACGCCATGCGACATCACCCGACCTTGCATTCATGTTACCAAACATCATTCGCCCTTGGACGTTACGCGGCGCAACCAGGGTGAATGATTTGCTTTAGCCTTTTCGTATCGTCACCTAGCCTGCTGTTTGTTGGTAACGTCACGAAAAGGAATCCCTGGAAATGCACATTGTAAACTCGTAAAATACTATACATGCTTTGTTTTCTAAGTGATCGCCGTCGTGCTTTTGCAAATTGCAATACGACGAAGGCGCCAAGCGCCGATAGACTGCACAATCACGTCAGTGGGAACATGTTGACCACCTCACACAGTTGGCTGATGGGGATACTATGGGCGGCTATGAGGTGGCAGTTGACAGTAGGCTCAGACCGATCAGCATATGACGGGGTTATTCAGGCTCCAACCAGGCACCAGTGCATGGAAAGATGATCCCAGCGTGCCCCGATCATAGTGACAGCAGACCGAGCCCACCGTGCCTCTATGTGGGCCCCGCCAGCCCAGACTCGCACAGTCAGTTCCGCCGTGTTTTACCAGTCCAGGCGCCGCGGTGGTAACTCGTGCAGCCGTGTTTTACCAGTCCAGGCTCCGCGATGGTAACTGATAATACCCTCTTACGCAGTCAGTTCCGCCGTTGCGGTCTCACGGCGCCTCTGTCTCCAACAATGGACGGTTATGGAGACAGGGCACGTGCCCTCCGACCAGCGGCGTGCCATGGAAACTCGGTTCTGTCTGTGAAACGCACTCAGAACCTGTTCAAAGATTTCTGATCGTTTATGTTCTGTGTCTGAAATTTGTTTGGGCAGCTGCTGTATGCGAGGCAGCAAATCCAGTGTCCCATGAAGCAGCAGTTCCCGTCTGGTTAGTAGAGGATTTTTGTTATTCTTGGAGTGCGTGACATTGCCTGAATCTTACATTCCTAAACCTTGAAGCATTTTCAAACCGGTTGTATATGCGTCATTACGTGAAGATTTCACAAAGTCATCGGGTACTCTATCCTCAATCCGGTTTCCCGACTAACTTCATGGCTTCTTGGGATAATCTCGCCCCAAATTTGGTTGCAATAGAGTTTTGTCAATAGCCGGAACCACCTGTGCAAGCCTGCGTCCTGCATTACGTGGGTAGAAAATAATACTGACATGTGATGTGCTGCCGCAAGTTCCTAGTTTTGTTTCACGTCATGGCCTCAGTCTTGTGTGCTCCTCCTCTCAGATCAATGATCATTGAACTCCATCAAAACATCACTTTCGGTCTGAGCCTACTGTCAGCTCCATCAAAACAGCACTTTCCCGGCGTGCCTTTGCAGAACTGCCTCTACTCAGAGTTATGGATCACAAGGTCCTCTATTACGCTGGATCAATTGGACAGCGTGTGTTTTGTGCGTCGAGTTGTGGATCAATTGAACGGAGGGTGTTTGGTGTTCTGCACGAGCGGTAGTGACTGTGTCGCCTCGCCCACGCGGTGTGCGTGATTAAGCCGACTGTGGCACTGCCCGTTGGTAAAGTGCTTACTTTGCAAGGGCAAGCTGAATTCAATTGCAGATAGATACTATTTTGTCAGCCGAGTTGGTTGTGATGCCAAGGGCCTTAGCTGTGCTGCCGAGGGCTTGCCATTTCCACCAAGCTTAGTCACATCTTAGCAGTAGAGAATGGGTAGACTCGGCTGAAATACAAGTACACTGTACAGTCACTCAGAAACATCAGGTAACCATTAACCAGCCTATACGCGAGCGAAATGAAACAGGCGCTACCAGTACCACAAGTCGCACTGTGCCCGTTGGTACGGTGAGGGATGCGTGTGTGGAGGGATATGGGGAGGGGAGGAGTTGTTCAGCATAATTCAGCACAGCGGCGCAGCACAGCGCTGATGGGTGTCACCACATGTGGCCGGACACCCCTCCGACTGTGCTGTGCCCCGGGGCCGTTACACCGAACAGGTGACAACAGCAGGTGACAGCGGTCCCGGCCGGTAGTTGTGTGTGCGTGTTGAGCCGGCCGCGGGGCTCCGGTTAGAGTCGCCCTGACCGTGCCGTGCGGATGGAGTGCCAGGGGGCGGCGGTAGGTCAATGATGGAGTGCCAGGGAGCGGTGGTGGGTCAATGATGGAGTGCCAGGGGGCGGTGGTAGGTCAATGCCACTGGTGGACTGAGACTGACGAGGGTATACTATAGTCTGTGTGAACTGTTTGGGTGCACCGTTTCCCGTGTTTGCCGGTGTGTTATGACTGGCGATTGACCCACGGTGATAGTCGCTGTGAACGATAGTGTCCGTGTGTGCCGTGTGTGATTGTGTGTTTGAACAGGATATGTCCGCACCGGCTGTGTGTACCTGCGGCCGTTAGTTGTTATCGCGCCCAGTGGTGTATCCTGTCGGTGAGCGCGCACAAGGTCCCTCCGGTGGGGAACTGAGTGACATTTGGTGTGTAGACGCGCCTCACCCAGTGCCACCGTTCGCCGATACCTCACTGCACCTGTGCCCGCGTCAGGTCAGATCTCTGACCGGTCACTCTGCCCCGCCAGGTCAGCTCAATGACGGGAATCTGACGCCACCCCCTCTGCCCCGGCAGGTATCTCAGAGCGAGCGGCACTCGTCGGCGCCCATGTCTCCCACGTCCACCCACTCGGGTCCGCCGGAGCGGGAGCGGGCGGCGCGGCTGGACAGCGTCGGATCGCTGACCTCTCTGCTGAGCGACCTGACGGCGGCCGGCGCGGCGGCCGAGTCGCCGCCGGCGCCGATCAGCCCCGCCGACACCGACCGGGAGACAGAGGTGAGAAATGGGTGCGGGGGGGGGGGAGGGGGTGAACGGGTGATCAGTCAGACGGATGAATACAGTTGGCCAGAGAAGGAAGGGGAGAATCAAATCCCGATGTATTTTTGTCTAGTCTGTGCCTGGTGGCGCAGATAGTTGCATGCTTGGCATTGCTTTTAATTCAGTCATGTCTGAGCGTTTTTTCTTCTTGTAAGTGCGTACATTATGTGGCGGTGGATTCTAGCGGCGCTCAGTTCACAGCTGTGTGTCGGAGGGCCAACCCTTTTGTGTATCAGTCATCTGACGGTGTCTCCCGCCGCCAGCTGTGCGGCAGCGGACTGCTGCGGCCGGTCCGACCGCTGTATGTATCTGTGTATCAGCCGTCTACTGACCGTGTTTCTCCGCCTTCAGCTATGCGGCAGCGGACTGCTGCGGCCGGTCCGACCGCTGTATGTATCTGTGTATCAGCCGTCTACTGACCGTGTTTCTCCGCCTTCAGCTATGCGGCAGCGGACTGCTGCGGCCGGTCCGACCGCTGTATGTATCTGTGTATCAGCCGTCTACTGACCGTGTTTCTCCGCCTTCAGCTATGCGGCAGCGGACTGCTGCGGCCGGTCCGACCGCTGTATGTATCTGTGTATCAGCCGTCTACTGACCGTGTTTCTCCGCCTTCAGCTATGCGGCAGCGGACTGCTGCGGCCGGTCCGACCGCTGTATGTATCTGTGTATCAGCCGTCTACTGACCGTGTTTCTCCGCCTTCAGCTATGCGGCGGCGGCCTGCTGCGGCCGGTCCGACCGCTGTATGTATCTGTGTATCAGCCGTCTGACCGTCCCTCTGCGCCTTCAGCTGTGCGGCAGCGGCCTGCTGCGGCCGGTCCGGCCGCTGGTGACCGACCAGCGTCTCCACCTGCTGTGGCCGCAGCCGCAGCGTCTCGAGCAGCTGGACGGACCGCCGTTCTGCCCCTCCGAGACCATCACCGTGGCGCTGGCGCGGAGCTGCGGCGCCGAGCTGCACAGGTAACACAGCTCTGACACTGACACTGACACCGACACACTGACACTGACACACTGACACTGACACACTGACACTGACACTGACACACTGACACTGACACAGAGACCATCACCGTGGCGCTGGCCCGGAGCTGCGGCGCAGAGCTGCACAGGTAAATCTGATACTAACACTGGCAATGACATCAACACACTGACACTGACACACTGACACCGACATAGTGATGCTGGCGCGGAGCTGCAGCGCTGCACAGGTGATACACTCTGACGTTGACAGAAACACTGACACACTGACCCTGACACAAAAACTGACGACACTTATCAAGTGTGTTGTTGCTTTGGACAATCTTCATATGAAATGTTTTCAAATTGCATCTGTTCATTTTTCTTGTGAACCTGGATCTGATTGTCTGTGTGACCTACTGACCGCTGTTCCCCGCCTCCGCCCAGGATCCTGGACACGTGGGACGTGTACCGGTCCGAGTTCTCCTCACTGGGCTACACGGTCCGGATGGCCGGCGTGCAGAGCCGCTGTCCGGGCGGCCAGCTGGCCTCGGACGTACTCTGTACCGTGTCCGACCGGCTGGTGGCAGCGCCCGAGGGCTACAGCCTCACCGTCAGACATAAACAGGTGAGAAACACAGCTTCACCGTCCGACTGACCGCCCGACACAAACAGGTGAGGATACTGCCGGACAGTCTGTCATAGCCTCATCGTCCGACACAAGTGTGGGCGCATAATGAGCCCGCTGCCGACGTGTGCTTAACCCAAACCAACAAACAAGACTGGAAATAGTTACGTGTGGGCTGTCACCTCTCAAATGAATTAATAGAACGTTCAGTTTGGTTGGCTGATAGTTGAGCTGTCATAAGTTGTCTGTTTATACGTCAGATGTGTTTAGTATCCCATCCTGCCGCCAGGTGTGTCTAGTTCCCCGTCCTGCCGCCAGGTGTACCTAGTTCCCCGTCCTGTCGCCAGGTGTGTCTAGTTCCCCGTCCTGCCGCCAGGTGTGCCTAGTTCCCCGTCCTGCCGCCAGGTGTGCTCAGCTCCCGCTCCTGCCGCCAGGTATGCTCAGTCTCCCCTCCCCTGCCGCCAGGTTTGGCTAGTTCCCCGCCCTGCCGCCAGGTGTCCTCAGCTCTCCCGCTCCCTCTCCACCAGGTGCGGGTGTGCTGCGGGGACGTGTCGGGCTTGCGCGGCGCCATCAGCAGCCTGCTGCAGCTGCTGCGGCTGTACGCCGGAGACGGCTGCCCGCAGCTTCTGATCTCCGACCGGCCGCGGCTCGCCCACCGCGCCCTGCTGGTCGACCTCTCGCCGCACGGACGGGTGCCCAAACTGGTCAGTTGTGGAGTCTGCGCTATTGAAGTTTGAGCTTTGCTCGCTTTGATCAAACCCAATGCATGTGACGTGGTAACTGGTAACTGGTAAGGCAGCTACGGCTTTCATCACACGCTGCTCTCATATATTTTCTGTCACTGAGCCATCTCAACCACATGATACGCTTGTTCCGTAAACCGTCAAAAGCTGTGTTCTACAGTCGAACTATGTTGTATATTTTGAGATGTCCGGCAGTCCGTTAAATCTATCATCATCATCATCATCATCATCATATTTATTTGACATCCTTTGAGGACAAAACAAGGAGAACATAGCTTCAAATTCAAAATATAACAAGGTCTTGAATTCGTGCATGATTCCCCTACACCACACTAACCTGACCCGACTGCCGAGCCGCAGGACTCGCTCTGTGTGACCCGTCGCTGACCCATCACTGACCTGACCCGACCTGACCCACCCGCAGGACTCGCTCTGTCACCTGGTGGACACTCTGGCCTCACTCAAGATGAACCAGCTGCACCTGTTCCAGCGGTTCGGCGCCGCCGGCACTCAGCTGCCCTACTCGGCCACGTGAGTAGACGCACAGTGGGGCTATGTGTGGGCGCACAGTGGGACTATTAGCCGGCACCCAGCTACCCTACTCGGCCACGTGAGTAGACGCACAGTGGGGCTATGTGTGGGCGCACAGTGGGACTATTAGCCGGCACCCAGCTACCCTACTCGGCCACGTGAGTAGACGCACAGTGGGACTATATGTGGGGCACTCTGCTGCCCTACTCGGCCACGTGAGTGGATTCACGGTGGACTGTGTGTTGGCGCACGGTGGGGTTATGAGTAGACGCACTGTGAGATTAAGCCTGGTCTGTGCACCGACCTGGCCACTGATCAGTGGTCTATGAACCGCATGGAGGACCTGCCATAGAGTTTGAGTTGTGCACCTGACTGCGAGGTCTGACCAGTGCAGTCTATGACGCCGCTATGACTGACCAGCCCGCCCCGCCCTCTGCGCGTGCTCCCTCAGTGAGCTGGTCTCCCTGGACCGGTACTGCTCGGACCGCGGCGTCTCAGTCGTACCCGCCCTGGAGGTACCCGCCGGCACACCAACCGAGGCGCTGCACGCGGCGCGAGCCGACATGGACGCCTTCATCGGCTGCTTCTCCAATGTCAGGTGGGTAGATGATGCCGATCTGCCACGTCAGATAAGCTGCTAACGCATCCACATCAGGTAGTAGAATAAGGTTTCTGTCAAGTGAGTGTGTAGGTATTTTCCTCTGTCAGCTAGGACGGCTGTCGTGTGAGTAACTGATGGTTCTCTGACGTCAAATGGCAGTGACTGGACCGATGTCCCTCCGCGGAGTAACAGATGCGCTCCCGGCTTTGACGTCAGTTGAGAGACTGATGCCTCAATCCACTTACCCTGAGGACATGCTGCCTGGCTGACTCCCAGTCTTGGCTCCTTGCTGTTTAACTTCACACCCTCATCACGTCGTGTTATGTCCTGTTGAGTGTTGACTGCCTCGCCGTTCGATTTCTGTACTCAACGGTAGTTGTAAAGCCCAAGATCAGTAATAGTCAGTGATACTGCTTTTCAGCTAGGTATTTAATGCCAGTCTGTCGAGTCATACTTGCCTCAGCTTCGTTTGGCTGTGCTACATGAGTGTTGCCGTACCATCGTGATCTTTACCTCTCATTCCCTGTTTCCCTGTCATTGCCCTAAACGTGTCCTGGCCGTCTGCAGATCTCTGTAACCCCTCACCGTGTCTATGTACCCCTACAGACACGTGAGGTCTGCCGGCCCCTATACTACCCTCACAGTATCTCCCCATCAGACACGTGCACCTGGGGCCGCACCTGAGCGGCCTCTGGTCCCTCTGTTACCCCTCACGGTATCTCCCCACCAGACACGTGCACCTGGGGCCGCACCTGAGCGGCCTGCTGGTCCCTATACTACCCTCACCGTGTCTCCCCGCCAGACACGTGTAGTCTGCTGGCACCTATGTTACCCCTCGCCGTGTCTGTGTACCCCTATAGATACGTGCACCTGGGGCCGCACCTGAGCGGCCTGCTGGTCCCTATACTACCCCTCACGGTATCTCCCCACCAGACACGTGCACCTGGGCCCGCACCTGAGCGGCCTGTGTTACCCCTCACGGTGTCTATGTACCCCACCAGACACGTGCACCTGGGGCCGCACCTGAGCGGCCTGCTGGCCGCGCCGGGCGGCGAGCAGCTGCTGTCGCTGCTGCCGCTGCCGGCCGGCGCGGCGCCGCTGCTCTGCGCCAACTCGGTGCGCGTCGCCACAGAGGCCGACTGCCTGCCCGGAGACGTGGTGCTCGTCGAGTACGGCTTCCAGGTGGGTGGAACAACTGCAGTACGGTACGGGTTCCAGGTGGATGGAACACTTATGTAGTGCACTTCAGGACGGGAAGTGGCGGACCTTCAGTTGTGTTCCTCATTGCCACCTGTGGTGCAGCTGTTGTCTGCAGCTCCTCCGCTGCCTTAGACAGAACCTAATCGTGCCATTCAGACACCATAGGCCCAGCTTCTGTCGCTCTGCTGTCTATGCTGGTGTTTTGTCCCGTCATTTTACCTTTGGCGGCTACACAGCCCAGCACAGGACCGGCCGCCGCCCGGAGCGTAGGCGGCGGCCGGCCCGGCGGTTGGCACAGCACCGGAGGGGGTGAGGGGCCGCCATCGGAGACGCGCGACGGCCTGCGATGACCCTCCGACACGGCGATAGAGTAATGTGTGACAGGGGATAGTGCGAGCAAATTTGGTCGTGGGATCTGCATTTATGTAGAACTAATAAGATTGTATCGCATTCTAACCGGAAAATCTTTTTATAGGTCAAATTTGGGAAGTGTGTTCGGCTGCAAAGTTTTGCAATGGCTACCCGGACTGGTGAAAGAGTTCGATGACTGCGAGTTTTGCCCCTTCCCTCTTCCAGCCACCGTGCTGGACGAGGGCTTCTCGGCGCCCCAGTCCTCGCCAATTTGCCATGCCCTGACTGACTGTACCACGCACCCCTGGCGGCCGGCAGGCGGACTACGACTTCAGCGCGCCGTGCCAGGCGGCGGCGGCGGCCGGCCTGCCGCTACTCAGCGCTGCCGGTACGGCCGCCTGGGGCTCACTGGCCGGCTGCCCGGAGGCGGCCGTACTGAACGCGGCCAACGCGGCGCGCGCCGCCGCCGAGCTGGTACGTATACCGGCGCACGGAGATGTTCCCGGCTCACGGGTGGATGGAGGACGGAGGTGGGGGTGTGTGGCGGTGGGCTCAGGACTGCTGGCTGCTCAGCTGGTAACGTATCAGGACGGTTGCTGACGTGTGGAACTGCTGGGCTCCAAGCTAACCGAAGGTTCAGGGGCTTTTTCAGACCACTGCGGTAACAGCGTTGACTTACCAAAACAGTTTGAAGCTGATTGAATGCCGACAGGGCATAGTACTCTTGCTGTCTATCTTCCTCACCTCTCTCTCTCTCTCTCTCTCTCTCTCTCTCTCTCTCTCTCTCTCTCTCTCTCTCTCTCTCTCTCTCTCTCTCTCTCTCTCTCTCTCTCTCTCTCTCTCTCTCTCTCTCTCTCTCTCTCTCTCTCTCTCTCTCTCTCTCTCTCTCTCTCTCTCTGTCTCTCTGTCTCTCTGTCTCTCTCTGTCTCTCTCTCTCTCTCTTTATCTCTCTCTCTCTTTCTCTCTCTCTCTCTCTCTCTTTCTCTCTCTCTCTCTCTCTCTTTCTCTCTCTCTCTCTGTCTCTCTCTCTGTCTCTCTGTCTCTCTGTCTCTCTGTCTCTCTGTCTCTCTCTCTCTCTCTCTCTCTCTCTCTCTCTCTCTCTCTCTCTCTCTCTCTCTCTCTCTCTCTCTCTCTCTCTCTCTCTCTCTCTGTCTCTCTGTCTCTCTGTCTCTCTGTCTCTCTGTCTCTCTGTCTCTCTGTCTCTCTCTGTCTCTCTGTCTCTCTCTCTCTCTCTCTGTCTGTCTCTCTCTCTCTCTCTCTCTCTCTCTCTCTCTCTGTCTCTCTCTGTCTCTCCCTCTCTCTCTCTCTCTCTCTCTCTCTCTCTCTCCTCTATCTCCCTCTCTCTCTCCTCTATCTTCCTCTCTCTCTCTCTCTCTCTCTCTCTCTCTCTCTCTCTCTCTCTCTCTCTCTCTCTCCTCGCATTCTCCCCCTCTTACTCTCTTAGCCCGTAAATGAGTGTGCAGCTCAGCCCTGCACTTTGGCCCCTGTTCTACGTGACTGGAAGTTGGAACACTGCAAACCTCCCTAAAAGGAGCGTCCGGTCTCACCCACAATCAGTCAGACCCAGCCTTGCCGCCGCCCGCCTTTCACCTCAAACAGCCGTTCCAACGGTGGGCAAACACGCCAGTCTAGGTCACAGCCCAGCCACCCGCTCGGCGGAGCTGGATGACGGCGCCTTTGGTAAACCGGGACTGGCTCGCTCGCCGGATGACCGTGCGCTTGGTAAACGGGGGCCGGCTCGCCAGCGAGCAGCTCATGGCCGCACCGCCCCAGTCGCTCCGTGTCAGACCGATACCGCCCCTTTCGTCCTGTATTGAACTGATTACAACTCCTGGCGATACCGCCTTTTTGACTTCCTGTGCAGCTTTGGCCGATGCCAACTCATGGCCATGTTACGTCCTGCTCTGTTTGTTAAATCGTTGATATACATAATGTAGTAAGCTGTTAGGTGCGGGTATGTTGCCAATGGGCATGCCACTGAGTGTGTTAACTGATGAGTTTTGGACTACATAGCTGGGGTCGTGTGTTGATGAATTTATGCCGGTAGTTATGCGGACGAGGGCCATCAGTATGGTTGCTGTTATGTAAACAGATGAGTGTTAGCATGTTGACAGATGTATGCATGTTTGGTAGTGATGATTGGCGGCAGTATGTTGACAGTGTGTGACGAGTTTTATGTTCATTGCCAGATGGTTGTCAGTATGGTGGTGACCGATGGTTGCCATACTGACATATTGTATGTCTATTCGTTGCCAGATGGGCGCCGGTCTGGTGGTGGGGTATACCTAAGACAGTCTATCTGCCCGTTACCAGATGGGCGCCGGTCTGGTGGTGGGGTACTATACCTATGACAGTCTATCTGCCCGTTAAAGGAACTATCCCACCTTCTAAAATGTTGTTAAAACCAGTTAAGTTGTGCCCGACTTTATAGATTGGATGACCAGGAACACGGTTCTGGCATTTATTTTTCATTAAACATCTTAGGCTTCCCATATTCCAAACACAAACTTTCAAATACGTGACGTCACAGCCCAAAATTACCTCCTTCCCCAGGCCACATTACTGTCATAAAGCTGATTCTTTTTACTCTGTAGGCACCACAACAAAGTTCAGACCAAGTTTTAAGTGATTTTTCAACGAACAAACCCATTTAAATCAGAATGACTAAACGAGGTGACGTCACACTAACGGTTGCTCCATGTTGAAGATAGGGCCTTGCGCAAGGCCCATTTTCAAATGAAGGGAACGAATTTCTTCAACACCAAGAGGCCGCGGGGGTTGCAACCTAGATAGATAGTGGTTTCTGAACCTCGCCGCAAACTTGGCTTATCTCAACTCAAACCCCATGTTAAAGGTGGGATGGTCCCTTTAACAGATGGGCGCCGGTCTGGTGGCGGAGTATACCTATGACAGTCTATCTGCCCGTTACCAGATAGGCGCCGGTATGGCGGTGGGGTATACCTATGACAGTCTATCTGCCCGTTGCCAGATGGGCGCCGGTCTGGTGGCGGAGTATACCTATGACAGTCTATCTGCCCGTTACCAGATAGGCGCCGGTATGGCGGTGGGGTATACCTATGACAGTCTATCTGTCCGTTGCCAGATGAGCGCCGGTCTGGTGGTGGGGTATACCTATGACAGTCTATCTGCCCGTTGCCAGATGGGCGGCGGTCTGTTGGTGGGGTATACCTATGACAGTCTATCTGCCCGTTGCCAGATGGGCGCCGGTCTGGTGGTGGGGTATACCTATGACAGTCTATCTGCCCGTTGCCAGATGGGCGGCGGTCTGTTGGTGGGGTATACCTATGACAGTCTATCTGCCCGTTGCCAGATGGGCGCCGGTCTGGTGGTGGGGTATACGTATGACAGTCTATCTGCCCGTTGCCAGATGGGCGCCGGTCTGGTGATGGCCGACTGGCGGGCGGAGGGCGAGCTCGGACAGAGCGTCTTCTCACTGCCGGGACTGGTGGCTGCCGCCGGACTCGCCTGGAACCCCGACACTCCTGTGGTGAGTACCGGAACTCAGACACTCCTGTGGTGAGTACCGGAACTCAGACACTCCTGTGGTGAGTACCGGAACTCAGACACTCCTGTGGTGAGTACCGGAACTCAGACACTCCAGTGGTGAGTACCGGAACTCAGACACTCCAGTGGTGAGTGCCTGGAACCCCGACACCCCTGTGGTGAGTACCGGAACCCCGACACTCCTGTGGTGAGTACCGGAACTCAGACACTCCTGTGGTGAGTACCGGAACCCCGACACTCCTGTGGTGAGTACCGGAACTCAGACACTCCAGTGGTGAGTACCGGAACTCAGACACTCCAGTGGTGAGTGCCTGGAACCCCGACACTCCTGTGGTGAGTGCTGTAACTCAAACACTCCTGTGGTGAGTGCCTGGAACCCCGAACCTTCTGTGGTGAGTGCCTGGAACTCCGACACTTGTGGTGAGTGCTGGAACCCCGAACCTCCTGAAGTGAGTACCTGAAACTCCGACACTCTGTGGTGAGCCCCGAAACTCCGACACTCCCATGGTGAGTCCTAGAGCCCAACATTCCTGTTGTGAGTCGTGGAACTCAGACTGGAACTCCGATACTTGACGGTAAGTCCCGGAACTGATTGATGGAACCCGAAGCGCCGGTGATCCTGACTAGTGATGGAGTGATGGAATGATGGAACCACAAGGGCAGTTGGTCATTCGGTAGTTTCTTTGTGACCTGTGTTTAACCGTCGCCGCTGTGTGCTTTAATTCCTCCCCAGAGCCATAGCCAACGGCCCAGTTCAGGTGGTCAAGGGTTAATGACGTACTGAGAGGACTCAAACAATTCTGACAGGTCGCTGTATGCATGTAAGGCCAACTCCACGGGCCTACTTTTTAGGTTCCTACCACACGCTTGATAGGGAAATGCTGTTTGTTTTTTTATGGAAAATATTGTACATATGTTGTTGATAGTACCTATTGATCAACTTTGGCCGACAGCTAGTAGTCTAACGTATGTGAATACGGCGAGAGACAGAAGCCTTTAGACCCTCAGACGTAAACGTTCTACTTATTCTCACAGGGCATGGAGCTTGAAAATGGGCACACGCTTTTACTGCGCCGCTTTTAGCGACCTTATTCCGTCCTCCAGCGGGAATGTATCGTCTGTATATAACTGGCGCAAGACTCTGCATTTACAGCGTCTATATTTGACTTGCTGTGGCGACTCGTTGCCCAACTGATTGACATTGGGACCTCTCTGAAGGGTATAGTGTCTGCCTCCTGCAGTCGTGACCCCCGTCCCTAGCGAAATACCGGAGGGCGAGTTCTTCCTTCGTAGCCCTTGGATAGAAGATCACTGCGCTTATGGGGCGAGCAACCCGGACGCGGGACGATAGTTCCTCTTGGCTCAGTGCCGTGAGTTCCAGAGCTGCATACTGATCGATTGAAGCGCAGGCAGTGTAGGCGAGCCTCTTCTGGCGAGCTTCTTCTGGTCGGTATCTTGCTGACGCTGATTTTTTCTCACGAAACGAAATAATTTACTTATAAATCTGTAATGGATATATGAAGCGACGTCTTGCTGTGCGAGTGGCCAGAGCTCGAGTGTCAGCATGTAAACGAGTGAGCCGTCCTGGACAGTTTGGGCCAGTTCGGGGCAGACCAGAGGCCGGGCTGTGGCAGCCAGACTACAGCCGTCCCTGCGGACCGGCCGGCACTGGTGGTGGGGCGCCCGCCCTGTCTGCAGTCGGACGTACCGACTGGGTTGCAGTGTGTATATACAGGAGCCGGCTGCCGCTCAACTGTATACACTCTGCCAGCCCGGCTGGGAGCGGGGCGGACGGGTGGACCGCGGTCGCCGCCCGGTGGAAAGGGCTTCTGTTTGACCGGAGATGATCATGCTGAAACGGAGAGCTTTGCACACACGCAGCTGGGTAGGGTATAATTTGTTAAAAAGTCTGAAGGGAAAGCAGTAAAATAGCGTGGTGTAAATGCAATTACGTGGAATAAAGGAAAGCCGACTAAAGAAGATCGAGTAGTCACTCGCGGCAAAAAAAAAACTGCTCAGGTGCGACATGGGACGAGGCGTCTTAACCCTATTCCTGGCGGGGGGGGGGCCTCAGGAGCCCCCCCCCCCTGAGGTTTTTTGGTTATTTCTCCCAAACGCGTTGAGCTAGGAAGCTCAAATTTTCTGACTTTTCCTAAAAGGCTTCTACGCAACATGTCTGAAAATTTTGAGTTGATCTGACCTCAGGTCAGGTCACCAGAGGCGGTTTGGTGACCCTACCTCAGAAAAAGTTTGCAATCACGCCGGAGCTAGAGTTTTTGACCGATCAATTTCTTCTCTTCAGGCTTTTGTTAGGGTACCAGTATGTGCAATTTGTATATCTCGGAATTTTGATATCGGTGACCTAAGGTCAGGTCAGTTTCGCGACCTCCATATTATAAGTCAATGGGGGAAAAATCAACTCCCTGTTTTTACCACTAAAACGGGTCGGAATGGCCCCATATACCATACATGACTTCATATACGATCAACCTTCACTACCTTGAGGTCTGTTTTGCTATTGGGCAGCTGTGAGGTCATGTGACGTCATCAAAGGTCACCAAAGGTTTTTGGCCAATAACTCCGTACAGGAACAAGATACAGACGCGTGGATGGTCTCATTGTGTTCAGCTCGTCAAGACGCATCGAATGATATACATGATGACCTCGAGGTCACGTGACCTGAGGTCAACCTTTGACCTTGACCTTTCGAGGTCAACATATATATCATTCGATGCGGATTGACGAGAGGATCACGATGATGCCCTTAGTTTGTTCCTATCTTGACTAATTCGAAAGTTATTCGAGAAAAACTCTCTCCATATCTAGCGCCGCCATTTTGACTTTTTCGACCCCTGTGACGTCATCTTTGACCTGACCTGAAAATGACCTTAGTAAAAATTGTAGATCTTGACCGTGCGTATCCGATCTTGTTTACCGTTTGTCGCTGCGATGTGTAGTTTTTGAGATATGAAGGGGGGGGGCCGAATCGGCCCCCCCCCCCCCCGCCAGTTTCTTGTCCCGGCGGAGCCCGCCAGGAATAGGGTTAAACAGACGATATATGCGACGATCCGCCGCCCAGTGCAGTCCTTGATCGAGCTGTTCGCTTGTGATGTGGTACCGGCCATCGTTCACTGAAGCAGCGCAGAACGGGCGATGGCTGGCTGACTTCAGTGGCTTACCTGTGCGCTACCTGCATTAGTGATTGGTGAGAAGTGCTGCCCGGCTCTCATCATGCCACTCCGTCTCTGGTGAGGCCATTAGTCGTGTGGTAACTTTCGGCCTCGTTTTGTTTAAGGCGGCCGCACACTGGGCCATTCGGCGGGCGAGATTCCGCAAAAGTGGAATGTCGCGGGCGACATTCCTACAGCGGCTTTCCGCTTGTTTTCAGCAGTTTACGGGACCATTCGGCGGTGCGATTTTCTACTTAGTATTTTCAGGAACTTTATGTAAAATATTTTATGATAAATATAAACGAATGCAAACTAAATACATTTAAGCAAATATAATATTTGCTTATTTAAAGCGATTATGCTATATTTCTGTACAATAAAGTTTTGAATATCTATTAATTTGACATAATTTCTGGAGGAAGTTGCAAAAAAATAAAGCTCGTGATTAATGTAAACAACCGTGTTTGTCGACAAATGCAAGAAACCTAAAGACAATTGTGGAGAGGCACATAGCAACCTACTTTTTGAATAGCCAGTTTAGTTCATAGAGCCATTTATTGCGAGGAAAGAAATAACATTACGGCTTTCTTATCAAATTAAGTCTATTTCTCGGCCACACCATCAATAGTTAGTGAGTACCAAGTTCCACAATATCGGCTCCCCGCGGTGAAGTCGCGGAAAAAGCTGAACCGGTTCAGCCTTTTCCGGGGAGCGTCTAAAAAGCAGACGAGATTAGCAGACGAGCCCATGCTCAGTAACTACTGGACCGATTTTGATAATTCTTTCACCATTCAATAGCAGGGAACTTACATAGGTGCCGTTTTTCGTTTTTTGGCGATTGGTTCACTCTGACTGGACCAATCGGACCAAAATGGTCCAGAACCATACACCCCCTTAAAAGCAGACGAGCCCATGCTCCGAAACTACTGAACCGATTTCGATGAAACCTTCACCATTAGACGCGCCGTGGTCTGAAACGGTGCCGTTTTGATACTTTTTTGATTGGTACACTCTAAGTGGTCCAAATCGGTCCAAAACCCCTAAAATCTGTTGCAGACGAGCCCATGCTCCGAAACTACTGGACCGATTTCGATGAAACCTTCACCATTAGACGCGCCGTAGTCTGAAACGGTGCCGTTTTCGATATTTTTTTGATTGGTCCACCTTAAGTGGTCCAAATCGGTCCAAAACTCCTAAAATCTGTTGCAGACGAGCCCATGCTCCGAAACTACTGGACCGATTTGGATGAAACCTTCACCATTAGACGCGCCGTGGTCTGAAACGGTGCCGTTTTTGATATTTTTTTTTATTGGTCCACCTTAAGTGGTCCAAAACCCCTAAAATCTGTTGCAGACGAGCCCATGCTCCGAAACCACTGGACCGATTTCGATGAAACCTTCACTATTAGACGCGCCGTGGTCTGAAACGGTGCCGTTTTTGATAATTTTTTGATTGGTCCACCCTAAGTGGTCCAAATCGGTCCAAAACCCCTAAAATCTGTTGCAGACGAGCCCATGCTCCGAAACTACTGGACCGATTTCGATGAAACCTTCACCGTTAGACGCACCGTGGTCTGAAACGGTGCCGTTTTTGATAATTTTTTGATTGGTCCTAAGTGGTCCAAATCGGTCCAAAACCCCTAAAATCTGTTGCAGACGAGCCCATGCTCCGAAACTACTGGACCGATTTCGATGAAACCTTCACCATTAGACGCGCCGTGGTCTGAAACGGTGCCGTTTATGATAATTTTTTGGTTGGTCCACCCTAAGTGGTCCAAATAAGTCCAAAATGCCTAAAACCCGTTTGTACTTTG